TCAGACGTGTGCTCTTCCGATCTCCCCAAAACCCCAAAACCCCAAAACCCCTTTACTATAAATTGAATCAGCATTCACAAGATTATAAGTTTTAAAATAGAAAAACATTTACTTAACATCATCTAATCAAAACATGAAAATCATTATCCCCTTAAACAACTATAACCAAAACCAAGCCAAAGAGCAAAAGCCACTAATCCTCACCTAGATAGTGAGACCAACTCCAATCGTACTTGCTAAACCAGTTATTCAAGATGGAGTTTTCAAAGTGCCACTTCCAAGAAGACCAACAGCACTTCCAACTAATTTTCCCGATCAATACCAATAATTTCCCAATTAATTCGGTACAAGCCTTAGAATGCCTCTAGAATAGCAAAAAATGTTTGCGCTAAAAGCATTTTTCCAAAGATAGGCCATGATCCAGAAGTACAGAGAAATGCAGCAAGAAATGAAGGTGTAACGTATGCTAATTAGAAAGAAGAACAGTATAAACTTCTTAATGAGAATGAAACAGTATTCTAAGTTACCTAAGCTTAAGAATGCTATTTTCAACATCCCAAAAGAACTCACTTTCCTCGACAAGTTCATCCTCTCCATCGAATAGATTGACTAGTTCATCAAGTAGAATAACCTCATTATCATTAGACCAGACTAGATCGAAATAGAAAATAGAAAAGAGCAGATTGAGTTAGACATTTAGGAGTGTTAAAACGAAGATAGCACTTCTTCGGAGAATTCTTCTGATGAAGCTCTTCAAAAGTCAATACAGGACTAAAAATCGGTCCAAAATGCAAAGCAAATAAAATTGGTTGAATTCAAGATCCCTCAATAGTACTTTGAACAGGAGTTGACGTTCGAACTTACCGATGAGTCCGATCAGAACGGTAAAGAACTTCAGAATGAGCCCAAAATAGGAGCTTACTCTATGTCAATTAGGAGTAAAAAGATTCTCAAATACAAGCTAAAGCTTGCCTAGAGAAGATAAAAATGTCCAATCAGCAAGAAATTCAACGGTAGAAGCCATGTCGCTGCCTAAAAGGTTAGAGTCAATGGCAAATTTGTAAAAAAATAAACTATCTAATGAACATATGTGTGTAATATATTGTATTAGTATTTAATTTAGCTAAGTTTCTCCATTTATATATATTCACAATTATATTATCTAATCTAATCTACCATCCGAATTTATTAGTTTTTAGTAATCATACTTAGGTTATGTTTCTGATACATAATTTAGAACTTTTTTATCCCTAAGTTAGAAATTCTAAAGGCAATCTCATGGGGTTTTGGGGTTTTGGGGTTTTGGGGTTTTGGGG